GTTTCTGCAGATGCCTATAGGAATTGGGACTAGAAATCCAGTACAGTCACTGAAAAGCGCTGGCCTCACCCAGGTAATATTTAATATTTAACTGCATTGTACTTTAATACCAGATTAGTGTTTAGTATCAAGTAAGTCATCCCTGACATGTGAGTTTTTCTTTTTCAACAGGAAATTTTCTTTGCTTCATAGTCTGCTTTCATAAATGACATCAAAATAAACCTGTGAAGCATAAAAATAGCTTTCTATATTACAGCCACACTATGGTCACAGAGAACTTACTAGTAAATAAAATTAAAAAAACATAGCCAGTTGACCCTGTATGCCCAATCTGAAAACCATTCTCCTTTAAAGGCCTGCTGAAAAGTGTTTGTCAGTATTTTCTGTCTGTTCATCATCAGCAAAGCTCTCACTGCAAGCATCCAAAACCCACACATCTAGAACCATTTGGTTTTGGTTTTGTTTTTTTTTTAATTTTATTCTTTTTAAAGAAAAGAGGGATCTAAACGAAAGGGGAAGGAGAAGTAATAAAGAACTGGTATGGATCTACATGTGTCTCTGTAAACAATGAAGCATGAGAGCAGTGAGCCAGGCACAGATACATGAGTGAATCCCAGACTTCCTGCAATATCATCTATACGCTCTTCTTGAGATGAGTCATACCAAATAATAAATAAGCTGTGTAGCTGCGCACAGTAGAGAACAATAACCTGTCTACTATGTTTTATCAATATAAAGTCATAGTCCAACAGCCAAGGGGAAGGATAGGAATTGGGAATTGAGTTTAATCAGTTGCTATTGCTTGCAAGAACTCCAGAGGCCTTACAGAAGAGATGAATGCAAATTAAGTCCAGTGGCGCAGGATAAAAGTAAGTTCAGTTTTGAGGTGAAAATGTTTCTTTTTGCAGAGAATACAGGAAATGTTTTTGTATTGGAAGAATCCAGCCAACCATGAAAGTACATGTTCCCATTCTGAGCTATTTAGTCTATTTTTTTGTAAGGAAAAATATATATGAAGAGCAAAGCAGAAAGCGTAACATTTGAAATAGGTCTTTGTGTCCCAAGAGGATGGCCTAGGGTGTTGCCTTATGCTCATGTATCTCATCCCACTCCACTGTCAGTGCTGTCTTCCTTTATGTTAATTGCCCTTGAACTTTACCCTTTCCTATCCCAAGCGAATAGCTTGACCATAAAATTGTCATATCAGCCTCTTGTTTTTTTTTCTTTCTTGCTGGCATAATAACTGTTGCATTATTTACATTCAATGAAACAGCTTCAGCAGGAGCTAATGAGACAGGTGGTGTTGCTGCGTGTTCCTCAGCCATACACTGTGTAAGAGTTTTGGGTTGGGGAACTTCCCTGTGGTTGAGAAGACTGGTTTACAAATTCTTACTGCCTGTCAGGTCACATGGCTTTTAAAACTGTCACCGCAGTTTCGTATCTTAGCCGTTGTTAATTAAGTTAAAGAGAAGAAAACATACTGTGTTTTGCCAAATGGCTGTACAGACTTCTCTTTCTGTATATATGCATCCACATGCATGAGTGTGTATGTACACACACAAACACAGAGTTATTTAGGTACTGGCTCTGCTTTCGACAAACAATTTGTTCAGCTTCATAGAGTGGGTCCTGCCAGCATCAGGTTGCGCTGCAGAGCTGATGGCACCAAGTGCTTTAACTCTGGAGTGACAGCCACTGGTGCACCTCCTCCCCTGGGAGAGGAAGGCCTTATGCCAGCAGGTGAGGCTAGCTAGACTGTGGACAAGGAGTCACAAGGGAAGAATTGTGCCCATACCCAAACTGTTAATTGTTAAATATCTCCCCCCTGCTCTGCTGCTGATGAGAATAACACATCAAGCAGGAAGGAGAGCAGGTTTCCCAGTTGTTGGGCTGATGAATAACTCAATTGGTTTTCTCAAACCAGTCCGATTAACAGCAAAATCTCTTTCATAGAAACAAATGTTCAGCCAAATAAAATTGAGATTCTTTTGGGACTTGGAGAATTAAAAATTTATTTTACACTTTCTGCATAACAGTCTGCAAAAGCTGATTTGTTCCCTTCCAGAATCTCAGGATTAGTCCCAAATATACTTGTGTGAGGTTTCTGCAAATTTTTTTAGATGTGAAAGGAAAATAACTTGTCTTGTACAATCCATTCTAAGTTTCTAGTGCTCAACACCCATGAAATGGATTGCTTATGGGGAGATAATGTCTTTTTTGTGCCTTCCAAAGTCTGTGAAAAATGTCTTCCTGGTTAATAGGTTGATTAAAACTGTATATGCTCCAGAAGATAAATATGATTATTTATCATACTTGCCCAAGATAATGACAGTAAAGAAAAGGCTGGAATTCTGTATGATTTCCTCTTTTCCACATTCAGAGACATTCAGCACACAATATGCAGATGGTGCCACATAAAGGATCACATTAACTGTTAAACATTTTTTCTTCCCATTAACTAATTTAACAATATGTCCCTGCTATTAAAGAAAGAGACAAATTACACAAAACTTCTGTCAGCTTAATCCTGATTGCTAAAATGGACCATTTGCCCAGATGGGATTGTTTTCTGGCCTATCAGGTTCAAAACGACTAGAAATTCAGCAACCACCAGCCCAGACTCTCGCAGTGTTGATTCAGCTCTTCATCCTTAATTGAGTTTCAGGCATGTAACTCTCTGGAGATTTTTGAATGACAGCCTAAATATTGAAGCCTATTCTGCTCTTGTTTGTTAGGTGACCTGAATTTTCTAAAACTATGAGCTCTTAGAAGCCTAGTTTAAGTCAGCAGATGCTGTAGGTGTCAAAAATCACAGCAAAAGCTCCTGAGGCATTTTTGCCAGAGAGCAGCGGACCAAATTAAACAAACATCTCGAGTTTGTTTTCATTTGCCACCTCCTACAGCAAAGACACTGTTGCTGACTGGTGCTGTGGAGACTCCCTTTGTAAGCATGTGAATGGTGGAGTAGCCTGACTATCAATGTTTCTTACACAACCGTTTGCCATACTGATCTCTTTTCATCACTGCTTTCCTGTTTCACTTCTTGCTTCTAAGCAACAAAGTAGTATGGAGGGAGCTCATGTATTATTAAGTATTAGCTTGCAGGCTAATTTTCAGGAACATACTTTGCCTCCATTATTCCCATAACTAAATGTGACCAAAAAGTTAGAGAAATCAGCATAAATGTAACACAAAGGTCAGCTGAAAAGTGACTTGAAACAACTTGAAACCGCACTGTGACTACACTACATTCCCCCACTTTGGATGGCAGTGTTGCAATCATCCCGTTGTTTTAGTGTAACTTTTTGTACAGGAAAAGTTGATAAGGAAAATACACTTCTTCCATGTTTTATTCTTACACTCCCTTGATGCAGAAAGAGAGTAAGCAATTTTTTAAACAAAAGAGAAAGCAATAGGGGAGGCACTGGACTTGCCAACTTTTTTAGTGCCACTGTCTACTTCTAGTATCTAAGTCTTGAAATTTGACTTTTTCTTTTTAATCTGTATTTTCTGATTTTTTTTTTTTTTTGCCTAATTTTATTTGCTCAGTTTCAGTAACTGAGTATACTATGGTACCTAGCTGCTATTGGTGTACTAGGTACTTTTCCTCTGTATTTGTTCAGGGTTTTGTTGTGGTTTCCAGTAACTCTTTGCCAAATATTTTCATAAAGAGGAAAAAATGAACCATCACAAAAACAGCAGAATGTTCACCAAGTGAAAAGAGCTGCACAGTGCAATAAAGAAAATCCAAGATCTCCCATGTTTTTCATGTGGATTGAGACTTGTTTACTTTCACATTACGCCTGCACTCTTCTACAGAAACCTTTATCTAAAGAAAACCCATTTCCAGCCAAAAGCACAGAATAAAGCTTGGAAAAAGATGATCTATGAATTCCTCTCTCCTTGAAAGATGTTTTATGTTCTGCCTTATACCTCAGCATTGATTTACTTGAGCATTCTGTACTTGCCCTGGGTGGTTCTATTTTAAAGATTTCTGTCTTTATATAGTGTCTTTATATTTCACTATGTTAGGATTTTTTGAATCTGGTATGTCCATATAACTGGGCACCTCCAGATTCAATTCATCCTATCTGTCGTAAGGGATTTTTTTTTTAATAATAATACAGTTACACTGATCCCATGGCTAACCATTACCAGAAGGGACAGCTTTCTTGTGCCAGGACTAGCACTGTTCTAACCCTCAAAGCTCTAAAGCACTCAAAAATGATTCATTCCTATCCTCAATTGTGTTCTCATGCAGTTACTGTGCTAATGGGAGGTAAGCAACGGTAGAGCAACTCTTTTCAAAGGCAGCCAGCAGGTAGGTCAGGTCAGATGCTTTGTACAGTTCCAGAAACAGCCATTCATTTCAGTACAGTGCAGGTAACCCTTCTGCCAGTCCTGTCTTTCTCCACTGACTCTGCAGGAAACTTTGGATGGCTCACTTAGGTGAGTTATTTAATCCAGATAAAGACAGATGACCTGAACCCCACCCTAGAAACTAAAGGTAAGCAACCTTATGGACATCATGTGATTTGCATCTATTTAGTTCAGTTCAGCAACTGACCAGTTTTAATGACATGGCTACTTGTTAAACTTGGTAACTCAGCATAAGTGTAATCAATATGGTATCACCATGCACACAAACTTAACAGAAATATGAAAATAATAGTACCATTTTTCATGTGCATATGATGGCAGTATTCACCAAGAATTATTTAATATTGTATTACAAGCATCAAGCTATGGAAAAAATATCAACTATTACCCTTCAGTTGCTTTAAAGATACTAGTTTAGTGTCATGTTTCATAGGAAAACCATACCTCTCTATTAGTCATCTAACCTTTAAAGCTTTTTTTTTTACGTTTTTTTTTCCCTAGGAATATAAAGACTTTATCATAAAAGACAGGCTTTAAGAGGACTTCATTGAATCTGACAATTGACTAATTGGGCAGTGTGCAATATAAAAAAAAACCTGATAACTGAGCATTCAACAAAGGATTTTTCACTTATAGCATTTATTTTTTATTATTTCTGCATTTTTACAGATCTACAGTTCTGCAAATACAATGTTTGAGTAAGACATTATTCACCGTATGCCCACATTTTATGAGATTACTGCAGTGTGCAAAAGTGTCACATTGCTTCTCCAGGTAGAAGAACCACAGGAACAACTGAAATACAAAAAAATTAGCCCAGCCCATACACTTTCTCAGCTGAAAATATTGCGTAGGACACACTGTGTGTCTTATAATTTTATACCTTTTTCACAATTTAAATTGGTATACAAATACAGTAGAAACTTTTATGCAAATTATCAGATTCACTATTGCGGGATCCAATAAAAAAGCTAACACTGAGAAAACAGTGCACTTTGTAGAGATCTCTTCTGATGCTCTACAGAGGAGCTCAGTAGGTCACTGCCAGCATATTGGATGTTGTAAACTTTCTCTTCAGACACAAAGAAATAGTTTGATTTAGATACTTTCTCTGTTGCAAATTTAAGTATCTCTTTTATTTTTAGAAAAATGCACTGTATGCTTTACCTTCAGTCTCAGTAACAGATCTCTTACAGTGGACTATGATGTTACATTCCTAATGGGATATGTACATGTCACTGAAAGTACTGTTGTGTGTCCTGGAGAAATTTCCTAAAACTTCTGTAAGACACAGGATGGGATAAGAGTTTACTGGGGTTTCGTCCTGAAGATCAATTTCTTCTTTAAGTCTTCATAAAATAGAGTCTTTTTTTCCAAATTGGATCCAACTTCTCCTGGGGAGTTCACTTCCTCAGAAAATAACTATACCGAGCATGCTGAAAAGTACAACACAAATTGTTTTGCTTGGTTTTGTTTTTTAATTCCCTTGTTGCTAGATGTTAATTGACATTCCCAGGATCACTGAACTTGGTAACTTGCTCACTCCAAGTTTTCTTCTCTCTTTTTTCAGATGGGATACTTCTGCTGCTTCAGCTCCTGTTCTTACTGAAGGGACATCTCCAAATGGCTCCACGTCTTTCACTTCGATTTAAGTAAGTCTTCCCATTCAACAGTGGACTCAGTATTTTTAGGAATTGCTGGAAACATTGACTGCATTTTAGTTTTGAATTCTTTCATCTATAAAAGAAATTTTAAAAATAGTATCAGTTAACTTTTAATAAGGAGCAGATGAAGTGGCACCATGAACCTCAGTCTTACTCCACAAAATAAGCTGCGTGAGGTAAAGAAGTAAGAAGACTTCAAAAATAACAGGAAATTAAGACTTTCCCTCTGATTATGTTGGTTCAACTAACAAAGTAAAAAAAAAGTTAAAAAGGACCCACAACAATCCCACCTTCTAAAAACAGCACACTGGGGTGCCTAATTTGGACACTTGCCTGAGCGATTCACTGCTATTACATGAACACACATACTTTTACTTGGGGGAAAATTACTCCCATAGAATGTGCCAGTATTTTCACTGCAGCACCTTTTTCTACACTGGTCATGGATTAAAGGCCCAACAGGGTTATTCAAGGATTTCAAAATGAGGATTAAAGAAAAAATACTGGTCAGCTCTGACAGTTTAGGTTTATCCCACCATATGGATAGAGGTGACAAAACCAAGTGTTGTTCAGATTTATACATTGGTAGGAAGGGATACAAGATTCATAACAATATATAGAACCAAGCTTTGCTTTCACCGTTGCTAAAATAAAATGCTGTGAAAGACAAAGTTTGCTAGTTTTATATTCTGTATATTAATACTAATCGCCAAATCTATACTTATAATAACCATTTTATCACTAATGTCTGATTTAATAGTCCTGGCGGAACTGAAATTTAATTTCATAAAAAATCACTTCTGTTTAAAGATAATATTTAGATTTAGCGGGTTTCTTTCTTCCAATATTTTTTACATATAATATATTTTTAAAGGATAGGAATGAAAAAATCAAATCGATGAAAATCCTGTTACACAAACAGCAGAATGTACAGGGGAAGTTTTGGACTGCTATATTTAGGAACCTATACAGAACCTATGACATTCGTGCAGAGGAGACAGGATGTGGTACTGAAACACTGGATGCAATGACCTCTTGAAGACCTAATGCTGTCTTAGACAGTATGTCCTGGAGAGGTTCCAGGAAATCTAGATATTCTAAACCAGCCACAAGCAGGCATCTTCTCTTATATGCCCACACTTTGTCAGGGCAAATAAATCTGAGTCATCAGATTTGTTACAAATACCTCTGGGCCATTTTCTGTTCCAAGTCCTGCATAAGACTAATTCTGACAGAGAACTGGTACTCCTTTAGAGAAATTATGCTGGAATGCAGTTATTCAAGTTACAGCTGATACAAAGAATGAAACAATTTACGAAGAAATTACCAATCCTTTGCTAACACAATAACTAACAATGATGGATGAAAGCATTTTAGATCAAATTTTTGTGTAAAAATGCATGGGTAGTGATAATCAAATAAAAATACATATTATATAAAGTAGGAGGAAAATTCAGAGCCCAATTATCCTTTTGTTTTATCCTGATTGTGTTCTTCTGTAGAAATTAATTCACTGCCTGTTTTATGTTTTATTCTGATCACACAGCTGTTTTTTTATAAATCATTTGGTTTTGATTTTTAAAAATCTTGGCAGTGACCCACAGTTGTTCCTAAACTAACATTTTTGCTTCTTATTTAATACTAAAAAGCTGTCATAAACAGTATTTCAAAGGATAATAAACACCAGTATCAGAGCTGACATAGGGGAACAGCCCAAATTACACTAAACAATTGCTGACTATCAAATACTAGTATTTACAGTAGGAAATGCTTTATAAGCTTTGGCTTAGCTGTTTTTTCCAGTCGTCTATAATCAAGTTACCTCAACTCTCTGATGTGTGGAAAGTGCTCAACTTACTTAACATTTCTTACTTCCTGAAGTAAAACTTTCCACTCTTTCACCTCATTCAAGTATTATCTGGGTATTTAGTAACACAGGAATGGTCAGATCCTAACCTGGTATAGCTGGAAATAAAACATTTTATACCAGCTAATGAGCTGGTACAATGTGAATTTTTTGGATGTTTCTAAACTCAGACTTCTACATTTCTTTACTGTCAAATTTAAATGAAGGACTTATAAGCCCTACAGGGCACCTCTGTTACTCCACTGAGGACACACAAAGCCAAATTAAAACTAAAAGGAATTACACAGAGCCTTCAAAAGGGAGTGGGGTGGAGGAGCCACTGTCTTCCCTTCACTCATAGCTCCTCTAAAGTTTACTTGCCGCTAAGCAAGTGAGAAAAAATAAAGGCATGGAGAAGACTTTGAAAAATAACTATTCTCTGATGTAATGGAACCACATCCAAAGTTCCTCTCCCTTCTCTCTTAGTGACAATGTCTGCCTGCTTAGGAACCGTTCTAGTATCAAATTTTAGGCTGCTCTTAAGGTTCTTTCCAACCCTAACCATTCTATGATTCTTTCAATCAGAGACTATCAGCTCAATATCCTGGGCTTTGACTGGCCAAACTCTTATTTAATATATTTAGGACTAAATCTGGCCTCCAAAGTTATCCACACTGGCCTCAGGGTTGTTCTTGTTGACATCTGGTTGACATTATCGTACCAGGCCCACTGCAACTTCAGACAAGGAAATATTTGTTCACTAAGCTTGTAAATTAGCTGTCATGTCATGGATTACCACTGTCCAGTCACCTCCTGCAGTGTGGTGAGCTTCTTGTGAAGATGATGAATCTAGCTTTATGTTCTATTACTACTGCACACTTGAGGTGCAAGAACTGGGACCTTGTCTTTAGCTCTCCAGGGACAAGAGCACTTCTTGATGAGGGAAATGCTGCAATTAGGAATCTGTCTTACCTTGCCTTCTCTTTTTAGTACACATGCCACTTGGCAGGTCTCTTCTCCCCTCTCCTGGAAATCTTCTCCTGTATTTCCTCCACATTCCACAATACATGTGCAAGTGGCCTTAAATCAACAGGCATGAATATAACTATGAAAGCTAATGTGCTATGTACTAACTACTGGAATGCTTTGAAATAATTCACTGAAATGGCTGCCTCTTTGTTATTGCCAGTGGCACTGCCACTGGCATACTCAGTTCAACTGTGAAAATGAAAATAGTGAAGTAAACCGAGCACTAAAATCTGCTTGTATTTAACCTCTTTTTGCTACCTTCAATACCATGGGCCACTCCCTCAGCTGATGCTTCTGAACCTAGTGGTATGTGAATGATTTGTAACACATTTCTTAACATTTCAGCATGCTCTCTTCCTGGAGGCAACTCTCTGAAGTGAACTGCACTCAAGTGAATTTAATTTTTATCACAGATATTGCAAAGCTTGATGCTGTTTTTTCTTGCCAAATAAATTACAGTAACTGTTCTACCTCTGTCAGGCTGCTTTCTAAAAGGGTATCATCTACCTTACTGCATTAAATAATCTGTAATAGCTACAGATCACTGTTATTTTCTTATCTTAACCTAATGATCGTGCCTCAGATGGCAAAAATATGGGGACCTAAAAGCATCTTCCATTTAATAATCTCTTTTTAATGTACATCGTTGACAGAATGTCACACAAAAACTGAGATAGCACTATTACTGAGAGCACTTACATGGCCGTTCATATTAAAATGAATGGAAGAGGGGCTAGAGGAGTTTGTTTGAATCCTAGAATGAAAGTTTTAGGAAGAAATGTTCTCTTTAATGTCTGACATTCATAATAGGCCAACCCAGATTCTAGGAATTATTAGTTTCCTATTTCGGTACTCATACCAGTAAGAACTGCTTACATTAGCTTGAAAATGAAATGAGGTTAGATGCCCTGAACTGGAATATCAACTGGCAGCAGAATACAGTACATACATGCCCCGTGTCCTCCTCAGCCACCTTCCATTTCACAAGCACAAAGATGAGATGGGCTGCCCTGGATTTAAAAAGCATCAGCGAGGAGTGTTCTTGCTGCCTCTTCCCAAATCTTAAAATGATCGTTGTTGCCCCTGTTAGCGGATGATTACCAAGGTCCACAGACAGAAACAGCAAGTTATTTGTAGAAAACGGCAAGCGCTGACCCCTTGCAGTACTTGAAGAGTAGAGCAAACAGCCTGCTGGCTGAAGGTGATTCTCAGTGTAAAATCAGGCACTCACTACACATCACCCTGTGCTGGTCTGCATGCTGACCTCTAAGATAAGCATGGAAAATAGAGCCCTGGTTCTTATTCTTAGAACTTACACTTCATTGGCAAAGGCATTATGAATGTTTGGATTATGCACAACTACAGGTCTATGAAAATGGCCGTCAGACAGTCAATGCTGGCAATATACATCCTAATATTTAACTGTCTAATGCTGTACTGTCATAATACACTGTGCACAACCTGTTTGCTGATTCCAGTGTTTCAGGCTTGCATTGAGAAAAGCAGCAGCAGAAGTTTATTAAACCATCTAAAGAAGTCAAGAGCTCATATTAACCCCGTATCCCATGGACATTTACACACATGCTTAACCTTATGCAGCATTGAATACTCTCTTTGAAATCAGCAGGCCATTTACAACACCTAGAACTAAACAAACACATAGCCATATTTTTCCAGAAACTTATCCCTATAAATCCTGTGTAACTGGGTAAAACATGTCCTGTGCTTTTTTAAAGAAAAATAAGTAAGATAAAAATAACCTAAGTGAACTTTACAGGGAGAGGGGGAGAGGATTGTCACTGTTTAGAATGAAGCTGTCACAGCTCCCAGACCATTATACATATGTAGTAGCCTCCCATAGTTACTACGTAGTGTGTCTCAAATTACTGGTGAACTACTGAGAACTACCAACGCACAGGGGCCAGGCTGCCTCTTTTCCGGTGATTGGGTCACATGAAGAGATAAAACGCATGAAATACTTTCCTCATATTATTTTTCTAAGCAGGCAGGAGCTGTGTTACCCATTCATACATGAATGCATTTCACAAATGGGAAGATAGCTGGTCTACATCACAAACTTATTTTACTAGCCCCATTTTGTCTGGTTTAATTTCTGCGCAAATGTGACCCACCAAAAGTGGGATTATTACTGGTATCTTATATATATCTATCAGAAAAGGAAGATCCCATCTCAGTAG